GAGCTGTCTGAGATGAAACCCAGAATGTGTTTTTCTACTTCCACAGTGTTTTACTGCCCACTGTAACTAATCTACTTGTCTGTTTTCAGGGCATAGATGAAGCCTCCAGCAAAGATAAGTGAGTTCTGCTTTTATTAGGACACAAATCCATTCTCTCTGGCTCTGAAGGGGCTTACGGGTTACATTTCACAGGCTGTTTTCACAATCTGTGAGTCGCTTTAGAATAGAGCCAACATAAAATGTATGGTCTAGATTAGGTTTCAAGCAAGTTTGGCCACCAATAATGCTTATTTTTTTCGTAATGGATCAAAACTAGTAGCTTGTTATGAGGATAGAAACAAGAGATATTCTGTATACTATATTCTTAATATAAAAGATGCATTTTATGCAGTACATTTAATATTTTACGGTAACGTAACCTTTTTGCTCTCACCAGCCACTGTGCCCAAGAGGCCCTGAACCCAGAGGACGAGGTCGATGAGTTTTTAGGACGTGCCATTGATGCTCGCAGCATTGACCAGCTGCGGAAAGACCATGTCAAGAAGTTCCTGCTCACATTCCAAACACCTTTTCTGGAGAAAAAGGTCCGCAGACAGCTTGTAAAATGTGCTTAACACTGTACAGCACTGACACAACATTTATAAACTCAGAGTACTGAAAAAAATGTCTGAACTGTTAACCGTAACAAATTGTTGTGCTTTTAGTATTCAAAAAAGGTGGATGATCGTTTTGGTGGTTATGTGGCCTGTACACTTGTCGTCTTCTGCTTTATTGTTTTTATACAAATCATCATATTTCCACAGTGAGTGTTAAAGTATTCTTTATAATAATGAAGTTGATTTAATGTTAAAATATATATTTGTTATTATATATTGAATTGGTGTCATGTATTTTGTCTTGCAGTACACCGTTAATGCTGGGCATGTTCATCAGCATCTTTATTATTCTCGCCCATGTCCTCTTTATATGTGCCATTTACTCCTGTGTTAAGGTCAGTTACTACCACATTTATGCATCTGAAATCTAGACTACATTTTCAAATAAAGCTAATGTGCAATCAATGATTTTCTGATTTATACACCATTTTTGTCTCTCTTTCAGCTTTTCCCAGTTACCTTGCAGACAGTGTCAAAGAGGATTGTTCAGTCCCGTGTCAACAGCACACTTGTCGGAGTCTTTACAATTTTGCTTCTTTGCATCTCTGTCTTTGTTAATATGGTAGGAATTGGATCTGAGTCTGTTGCTGGCTGGAAAAAAAAAATCCTGTGTCAGTTTTTCCCCCCCTGTATGTCAGTGTAATTCTACACTAGCATGAGCACTAATTTCCCAAGTTGAGCTGGGCTTTCAAACTCAATTCAGTGTAACTTTGATTAATTTTGGTTTATTTATTTATTTATTTAAACAGGTGGAGATTACATCATTCTTCCAGATTTAAAATGAGCAGTGAATTAAAATCTATTTAATATACTCCTCATTTTAATTTAAATCTGGAAATGCTGTTGCTGCCATCCCCTCCTATTGAAATAATAGTAGTAATAATAATGATTTTATATATATATATATATATATA